AAGGCATGGGCAGTGCTCAAGGACCTGCACGCTCCGACATCGGTTGCCGCTTCTCTCATGCTGGATCGGGAGCTGTCCATGCTGCGGTTGAGCGAGAATGAAGCTCTGCAGCCCGTACTGGACAAGATGAGGGAACTCTACGCGAAATTGGCGATTGCAGGCATCACGTACCCAGAGCAGACAAAGTGTCTCAAGATGCTCAGCCTGCTGCCGGAGTCTTGGCTGCAATTTATAAGCGGACTCAGCTTGCCACAAAACCAAAGTCAATGGACATTGGAGTGGATTCGCACCAAGATTCTGGAAGAAGATTTTCGTCGCTATACACTGCGCGGAGGTGATGACAGCACCAGCGGCTATGCCATGCAAGGGACATGGAGGGATCGAGGGCGTGGCAATCGCGGTCGCTCTTACCACAGCCAAGGTGGTCGCGGGACTTGGAACCAGCGGGGGCGTGGTGGCGCTGGTGCAAGAGGAAGAGGTGGTCACTCCAACAATGACAACAGTGAACCACGCTTGAGGGGAGAGTGCTGGTATTGCAAGGAAGAAGGGCATCCATGGTTTCGCTGCCCTACCAAGCCCGACTGGTGGACCCCTTGGAACCAATCGGAGAAGGGGAATGGAGGAAAACAACCACATGGAGGTGCCAACATGGTAGCTGATCCTGCTGAAGAAACCTCCAAGGATGACAGAGGAATGCGAAATGAGGAGAGGAATGCTGGACAGTTCTACCATGTGTGTGACAAAGATGACAGTGGCACAGCTGTTGCAAGGGCTGGAGAGGAATTGCACCCGCTTGACATGTGGGTCATGGACTCTGGTGCTGCATGGACAATGACACCACGCAAGGACTTGCTGGATGCTGTGCGAGCGCCTCCAATCTCTGAAGTGCGCTCAGCATCCGGACATGCAGTGAAGGTCGCTGGAGTTGGTCGAGCTGCATTCAGAGCACCTGATGGTGGACTGGTTGTGCTGAAGGATGTGTTACTCGTACCGGGGCTGAAGGCCAACCTGATATCGCTGCGCAAGCTAGGCCAGGCCGGAGTCAGCACCACCACCAATGGATCCAAAACATTCAAGGGGCTGCGAGGAGATCGTGTGTTATGGGATTTACACGAAAGCAGAGATGTCTTCAGATCCATGTGGCAGATCCCTGCACTGATATGGGAATCAACAAAGAAGGAGTTGGGAGAAGTAAAGGCGGGTTCTGGAGTCCAGGGGGAGTGTAATGCAGTTAGTGCTGCAGGAGTGACGGTTTCTGCAAGGTCGGGGGAGACTGATTGGGAAACCGCACACAGGCGTCTAGGGCATGTGGCTATGCCATTGCTGCAGCAACTGCATAAGGAAGAAGCAGTAAAGGGGCTCAAGCTTTCTGGGCAACCAAATGCTACCAAGTGCGAGACGTGTCTGCTGAGCAAGTTCACACGGTTCCCCTTTCACGGCGTAGCTGGGAAAAGCAAGGCAGCACTGGAACTGGTGCACATGGACCTCGTAGGACCTTTTCCAGTCCGAGGAAGTAAGGGGGAAAGGTACTTCCTGACAATAGTTGATGACTGGAGTCGGCTGATGTGGGCATACCCGTTGAAGCAGAAGGATCATGCTGCCTCAACAATACGAGATGATTGGCTGCCGTTCGTCGAGCGACAATCTGGGCACCCATGCAAGAGCATCAGAACCGACCGAGGTGGAGAGTTTCTAGGAGGAGATCTGACTGCGTGGCTCAAGAAACAAGGCATTGAGCATCAGCTAACGACGTCCTATACCCCTCAGTCAAATGGCGTTGCTGAGAGGGCTAATAGGACCATCCTGGAAACTGCGCGAGCGCTGCTGATCGAATCAGGGCTGGGGAACTCCATGTGGCCTCATGCGGTGAGGCATGCTCCAGTGGCAAGGAACCGCGTACTCACAAAGGTGGCTGATGATATGTGGGTGCCGCTGGAGAGGTGGCTTGGAAAGAAGCCTCCAGTGGACATGCTTCGAGTGTTCGGATGCATGGCAGTGGCGCATGTCCCTAAACCGTACAGGACAAAGCTTGGAGCATCTGCACTTTGGTGTGTGCACCTTGGGCTTGCGGCAGAGAGCAAGGGGTGGCTACTCTGGGAGCCCTCAAAGAATGTGCTGTTTGATAGTCGGGATGTCAAATTTGTGGAGAACATCATGTATGGCAAGTGGGAGAAGCAGCCGGAGGCAAGGGTCACCCAGCAGCTGGAAGAGATCACTATGCACTTCGATCTGTCCGAACCTGAGGACAGCGAAGTCACTGCGCCAACGGCAAGCGGTACTGATGAAGGAAGCAATGAGGATATTGCAGCTGATGCTGAAGTCAAGGATCCGGAGCAGCAGCAGCAAGAGGCTTCCAAAACACCAAGTCTGTCAAAGCGAAGGAAACAGATTGGTGGGGGGACAAAGGATTGGGTGAAGGTGAAAGAATGGGTAAATCCAACCATCTACCCTGCACGTACCAGAATGGCAATGAGAAAGCTGTTGAGCTCCACAAGTGGAGGAGCCACAACTGAGCAGCAGGAACAGGCTCAAGGCGAAGATGCAGTGCTGTTCTTGGGTGATGACCAAGAGTCAGATGACAAGGAGCCTGCATACTGCTTTTACGCACCAATACAACCTCCGAGCATGGATCATGCGCTAGCCGGGCCTCAACGGGGGAAGTGGCTCGTTTCAAGAGATGCAGAGTACAACAGCAAGATGGAGAATCACACATGGGACCTGGTGTACTTGCCAAATGGGAAGAAGGCAATACAGTGCAAGTGGCTGGCAAAAATCAAGACGGATGAGAAAGGAGAGCCATCAGTTTACAAGAGCAGGCTGGTGGCAAAGGGGTTTCAGCAGAAAGCGAAGGAAGATTACAAAGAAGTGTTTGCCCCAACTGCTAAGTCTCCAACGCTACGTGTGCTGCTGGCGGTAGCTGCTGTGCGCAAATGGAAGGTGAAGCAGATGGACATCGTAACCGCTTTTCTGTATGGCATTGTGGAAGAGGAGGTATACATGGTTCAACCACCTGGCTATGAGGATGGAACCGGTCGTGTCTGCAAACTTAACAAGGCCATCTATGGCTTGAAGCAGGCCCCGAGATGCTGGTACAACAGGCTGGCCAGTGCACTGGAAGGGATTGGATTCCGTGCGAGTGCATGCGACGAGAGCCTATTCCTGATGAGCGAGGGGGAGTCGCTTGTGCTTCTGCTGGTGTACGTGGATGACATCCTGCTCTTCAGCAGCAGTGACAAGGAGATCGATGGGGTGCAGCGGAAGCTCACAGAGCAGTTCAAGTGCAAGTCACTTAGAGAGGCAAGGTACTACCTGGGAATGCATATTGAGCGGGATACTGAACGTGGCTGGCTCAAACTGCATCAGGGACAGTACATCAACACCTTGGCTGAGAAGTACTCTCTGCAGGAAGAACGGGAAGTGGTCACACCTTTGCCTTCCGAGTTCAAACTCATAAAGGCAGCTGAAGGAGAAGGAGTTGAGAGTGAAGACCAGAGGCAATTCCAATCCATGGTCGGGAACCTACTCTACGCTGCTGTGCATACTCGGCCTGACATCAGCTTTGCTGTGGGACAGCTGGCTCGAGTAGTGCAAAATCCAACAGAAGAGCAGTGTGGTGCAGCGAAGAGAGTGGTGCGCTACCTCAAGTCATACCCTACAGTGGGAGTACAGTATTCAGCCTCTGCTCAACTCAGTCAAAAAAGAATTGAAGTCCTCAAAGAGAAGGGGGAGCAGCTCGGAGAAGGAAAGGTGTTCCTTTCCTGTTTTGCTGATGCCACGTGGGCTTCTGAGCATGAGGATTCATCATCAGTTGGTGGATACATCTGCATGGTGGGAGGTGGGCCTGTAAGTTGGAGGTCCAAGAAGCAGTCTGAGACGGCACTATCTTCAGTGGAATCTGAGTACATGGCGATGTTTCATGCGGCAAAAGAAATCATCTGGCTAAGGAGGCTCTTGAAGGAGATCGGCCATGAACAGACTTGTGCGACACCTCTGTTCAGTGATAGCAAGGGAGCCATTGCCATGGCACGCAATGCAGTTCTTCATGGGTTGAACAAGCACATGAGGATCATGTGGCATTGGCTGCGGAAGGAGGTGAAGCTTGGGACACTGGATCCGATCTACGTGAAAACTCAGCAACAGCCAGCCGACTTCCTTACCAAGCGGCTAGCTGAAGAGCCACACTGGCGCTGTGCGAGGATGGCGGGAATGTCCTTGAACTAGAGACGGCGAAACAAGCCGACAGTCTGAGGGGGAGTGTGTTGGTGCATATTCGTTTGCACGTCATCCTGTCGTCTGTTCGCATCATTTCGTTGCATGTGTTTTGTGTGCTACGTTGTTTGTATGGTTTGTTGGGTTTGCATGTCTTTGCATGTTCATCTTGTGCTTGTGCAGATGTGCTTGGATTGTGCATGACATCGAGCACATTCCAACGAGCCAAGAATTGTTGGAATCGGAGCACATATGAAGAAGTTACGAAGAAATGTTTGATGGATTTGTTACAACTCATTGGAAGTCCTTGTCAGCTGCTACACCAAAGTTGGAGAGCCCTATAACGAGGAGGGACCAGCATGTGTGGGACTTTTGTCCCCACCTTGCAGCTGCAGCATTTGGGGTTTGGAGGCCAACCTGGCACAGTGTGAAATTTGTCTTGCCAGGCTGGCTGAACCTGAGGATGGGGAGTCAAAACTTTGACTCTTGTCATGTTCTTGACCATGGGCCTCCAGGGTCCTTCCCTTTCATCCTTCACTTCCTACCCCACCTTCCAACTATGCTTCAATGCCTTTTCCATCATGTCTCTGAACTTGTAAGCTTCAATCATAGTGACTCTGAGGACTGTCAACTTCTCCTAGGGCAGATTACCCCCCAGTGCGCCAAACGCCATAGCTCACTCGTTTAGCTACGGAATCGAGTGATTCAACTTTCAGTGGAAAGCTGACACTGCCAGCTACAACATATCCGATTTTCAGATCGTTTCACCGATTGGAGTTTTTGATATAGCTATTCGAAGGTCGCGAGTTTTCTGGGCGTCATAACGAAGTGCTGCAGAAATTTCCAAGGAGCCATTGAATCATCTGCTTATAGCCTTCTCTAACCAACATGCTGCGGCTGCGGCTCCTGCAGCTGTGGCTGCAGCCTGACCACCAGAGCCCCACTGTTGCTGCTGCTGCAGCTGCAGCTGCTGGAAGCGGCGAAACTGCTGCAGCTCCTGGGGAGTTATGGGGTCAGCGATAGAGGAGGAGGAGGAGGCGAGCTGAAGATGAGAGGGGAGGAAAGACGGAAGAGTTTTGACATCCTGGAGAGAGGGGCGGGGATCCATGGCAGACCAGCGTGGGGGTGTGCCAGTGTTGCCGCGCTCGAACCAGGCGTCATCATACGCCTTGAAGCAGGTTGCGGGGGGATGGTTGGTTTGGGTGCAGCGCTCACCCGCCCTGGGACCAAAACGGCGAAGATAGGAACATGGGGGGAGAGTGCCAGGGCGGCCACCACGGCTACCAGATGAGCCACTACTGCCTCCACCACCACCACTGCTGCCACCCTCGACCCCGCCACCACCGCCGCTGGCTCCGCTGCCCCCACAACCGCCACCTCCACCCCCTCCCTGAGGGTTGGTGCGGCCGCCACGTGGGCGCCCTCCATGACGCGGCTGTGCAACTGCAAGCTGGGGGTTTGGGGACTCGATGGAGTTCAAGCCGGAGGGGGGGGTTGAGAGAAGGCGGGCCTCAGCGTCAATGATCCACTGGACCACAGTGTCAAGGGAGGCACGGGGCTGAGCCTCAGTGAAGGCGATGACGCGCACCTCATACTGAGGGGAGAGGCCTTCGAGGAGATGGTAGATCTGGAGGTTGGAGGGGAGAGTAGTCTGGCGAGCCTCTAGGTGGGAGGCAAGGTCCAGGAGACGGCTGGTGTAGTCAACGGCGCCAGCACTATTTTCGATCGTGATGCTGAAGTATTCCTTGAAGAGCGGTCCGACAGCGTCGAAGTCGGTGCGTTCGAACATCGCCTCAAGCTCGAGCCAGATCTGGCGGGAGCCGATGCGACGTGCCTGGAAGTTGCGCATGAGCGCAGGCGGGATGGCAAGGAGAAGGGCACCAGCAGCACGATTGTCCGCCTCGAGCCAAGCGCGACGACGCTCGGCAAATCGTGCAGAGTCAGCGGCATAAGCGGCGGCGGTAGCGGCATGCTGGTTGTGGAGGGTGGCCGACCGCTCGTGTTCCTCCAAAGTGATCAGGTAATCAGTATGGAGCACGAGAAACTCACGACGCTGAGTAACGAAGAGCTGCTCAACCTCAGCGATGGCAGCGCGAGTGCTGGTGCCAACGGGTACCACGGGGGGCAGATGTTCCTCGCCGGGATGGGGAATGAGAGGGGGGGGATCGCCAGGGTGAGGCGGCGGGTCCCCAAGATCACCCTCTGGGAGACCAAGCATGATGTCCAGGAGGCGGAACGGCAGGACATAAGCACTGCCGAGGACGCGGTGGAGGCTGCCGACGAAGGAATACCAGTTGGTTGCTGAGTTGTCGGCAGCGCGCACCAATTGATCAAGGGTCAAAACGTCGACAGGAGGGGGAAAGGATGCCATTGGTGACACGGAGTGGGAGGAAGGCGACGGCGGGTGGACCCGCGGTGGCCGGGAGGGAGCGGCGGCAGGTGGACCCGTGGCGGCTCAAAGAGGAGGGGAGGATGGGGATGGCTGTAGCTACTGCTGCTGCTCCTACTGCTGCTGCTGCTGCTGCCGCTACTGCTGCTGCTGCTGCTGCCGCTGCTGCTGCTGCTGCCGCTGCTGCTGCTGCTGCCGCTGCTGCTGCTGCGTCTGCTGCTACTTCTGCTGCTGCTGCTGCTAGCTGATGGCAGTTAGCTGATGGGGAAAGATGGCAGTTAGCTGATGAAACTAGGACTTGGTGGAAATTTCAGTAGCACTTCGTGATCACATCCAGGAAAGTGCGCGAACTTCGGGAAGCGATATCCAACAATCCAAGCAGTGAAACAGTCTAAAATTTTACGACGTTGTGCCATAATAGTTTGTCCGTTTGCAACTGTGACATATCGGACGACGAAGTGGACGCTGGTTGGTGATGAAGCTTGTTTCTGCGGAGCACATGTGCCAACCGCAGCAGCTGTCGAGATACCAAGTATTTGGACCTGAAATTATTCGAGCAAGGTTAGCGTAAACTTGAGGTAAGGGAATGCCTTCAGCACTTGTGGTTTCTTCAAGTCGTGTCTCAAAATCTGTTTCTGAAACATCAACTGTGGTGACGCATCCAAAGACCCCTTTCCCTGATGTTGCAGTTGCAAAAACCGGAGGACGATGCTGTGACGGAGATGGATTCTGCAGCGTTTTTGGCATCTGCTGCATTTGGGTCGTTGACTGCTGCGCGGACTGAGGTGGCTTCAGTAACTGCTGCAAGCGATGATAAGGCTGTGAAGTGCTGCGTCGGTTTTGATGTCGACTGCGACAATTTTGGTAAGTATGTCCTGGTTTCTTACAAAAATAGCAGAATGGATATTTTGGAGGATGTCAGTGCTGTGGTTCTGGATTGGAGTAAAAACTTAAATGAACCCGTTTCTTCTGATTGCGTTGTGACTGCAGGTCAAGATCTTGCTGCTCTGCTTGAAGATATGAAGAGATTTCGGCTTCGGAATGGTTCGGGTTCATTCGCAGAAAGGCGCGTGTCTGTCGCCATTCGGGTCCAAGACCAGCAAGAAGTACCGTGAGATACATCTCACGAGGGAAGTATCCTCCACTCTTCTCCAGTTGATCTCGTAGTGTACGGACGCGGTTGACGTAGTCCATGACATTTTCGTTTGTCATCATCTGTACACTTGTCAGCTGCGAAAGTATTTTACTCACTGTTATTGTATCCTTTGCCATGTATACCCCCTTCAGATGGTTCCAAGCAGTTTCGGCTGGTGTAAAGCTTGAGTGAAATGATCGGACGCCGAGCTGCTCCTTCGGCGACAAGTTCCGAACAAGAACTGTATAAGCCCCGAGAGAGGCGTGCAAGAAACTCTGCTGCTGCAGTTGTGTTCCCACGACAGGATACGTGAACTCGCCGGTGAAGAACGGCCATAGCCCAGCGGACTGCGCCAGAAGTTCAAACTCAAAGCTCCAGGAGTAGAAGTCGACTCCGTTAAAAGGTATAGTGGTTTTTATCTGTGTGCTGTTAAGTAAATTTGGAGGCTGAAAAATAATACCCGGCTGTTGCTGTCGTTGCTGTTGCTGTTGCTGTTGAAATTCCTGTGGCTGCTGATGATACTGCTGTTGTTGCTGTTGCTGAGCAGGGGAACGGCCGAAAATGTAGAAAGGATGCTTGAATCTGCTGCGACTGCGGCTGCTGTACAGAAGGTGAGAAAGTGAACAAACTAGTACTTGGAGCTGTGACTCCACGCATATAACTTGAGCCGTCAAGGCTCATTCCACTGAACGCTGACGATATTGATTGCGTTGAAACTGGTGGCTGTACTGACGCTTGTTGCTGTGCTGTTGTCTGTGATTGTTGTTGTTGCGCTGCAGGTGCAGTCGAAGAAACACCTGGAGTGTTAACAGAAGGCGGATTCTGCTGTTGCATACCGATATGAGCATAGGCTGGTGGAAACGGCCTAGAGGCTGAGAGACCAGTGGCGGTAGTGGAGACATGTACTCCAGTAGTTCCGGAAGTTGATCCGGCAGACAGTGCTGGTGATGAACCAGTCATTGTTGACAGTAGTCTTAATTCCAGATAGCTCTCATACCATGAAATAACTTGTCCAATGTTGTAGAAGACTAAGTATAAAACTGCAAACACTAACACTTGGAAATCCTCAAGTGTTGGTCCAGGATCTCTACTGGAACGGTAGACTAGTAAGACAGTGGAAGTCTTGTAAGAGTGAACCTGAGTATATGTTTCTGCAGAAGTTAAGTCTCAAAGTTCTCAAAGTTGAAATCTCAAGGTTAATCATAAAAAGGACACAACAAAGATTTATAGCTCTAGGAAAGTACCTATTCGCTAATGTACATGTTCGTCACTATCGCGCTATGCGCCCTAAACGATAATGAAGAGGTGCGACTGTTCGCGTAACTGAAACGACTGTCCTATGACGAGCGCTATTTGCTGACGTCATCCTACGGACTTATGTTCTACAATAGGATTCGACACTATCTACACCTAATCGACTTACAGAAATGCGAAGTATCAATTATATCACAACACATTTTGCCCTGACACGCGCTTTTTACGTCTTCTGTACATGCTCGGAAAAATGTTACGGGGAATGTAGATGTCGCGAGGTTCACCTTTCGACCACAGAGAGCATGTTTGCTTCGGCCTTGTGTCCAGTCTTTGATACGACAAATGCTCAGCGCAGCGAAAACCAAAAAATATTGGCGAAAGAAATGGAGTTACGGTAGTAGGAGGCCTCGCTGTTTTTGCCACGGCATTGACGAATCTGCCCGAATATGACGAAGTCGTGTATTTACTTTTCGTCAGCCATTATTTGTCGTTTCTGGGGGGAGCTCATTTCGGGCACGATTTCCAGCCGATTTCGAAACGTGCGCAACAGGATTGCTGGCACGCTTCGAGAGCGTCCGCTAAGAACGCACACTTTTCGAGCGGGTCCTAAGGGCGATGAGACTCACGTGACGTGTCATGTGCAGGCAGCCCTCTCTCTTTTGGCCCTGCTGTTTCAGGGTTTGCCCCCGCCCCCAAGGGGTATGGGGAGGAATGACTCTGATGTGGGGGGGGGGGGCAACTTAGCCGATTTTTTTGGGGTGCGAGGGGTGTGGGGAGCAAGGAATGTCTCTGGTGTCGGGAACTTAGCCGATTTTTTTTGTATGCGAGGGGTGTGGGGAGGAATGTCTCTGGTGTGGGGGACTTTGTCAAAATCTTTGGGGTGTGAGGGGTGTGTGTGGAGCCGGTACACATGTATGTCTCTGTTTCAGAGAAACTCGATTCACTTGTCTAAAAATCAGAGAAACTGGTACACCTAGTCTGAGAAATTCAGAGAAATCTTAAAAGCTTGTCTAGGCCAATCAGAGTATTTTCAAACCGTTGTCTGAAAAATCAGAGAAACCCTAAAAACCAGTCTGAAAATCAGACAATCAGACAAAAAAAGTCTGCTATTTAGGACCCTGCTAGGAAGCCATGAAATGGCATGAGGTTTAGCTAGGAGCTAGGAGGAGCCATGGAAATGGCGAGAGGTTTTAGGTGCTAGGAAAGTTGAGAGAAAAGAGAATCAGAATAGAAGAGAAAGTTATACAAGGAGGGGTGTTGTACCATCTACAGTAAAGTTCAGTAAGCCTACCAAGCATACAATAATATACTAACATATATAATTTAACACACCCCCTAGGCTTGGTAGATACAAGCCCACACACACCCACACCCCCTAACCTAGCACCCCCATTCCAGCCACTGTGACAGCGACACTAGCTCGGTCGACCCCTCGGCGCGTGAGGCGGCGACGTCGACCGCAGGGGCTGCGGCGGCGACGGTGGCAGCGGCGGCAGTGTCGACAGCAGCGGCGGCGGCGGCGGCGGCTTCGACAACAGCGGCGGCGCCCGCACTTCTCGGTGACGTGGCCAGGCCCCGCGACGGTGGGACGGCCGGCGGGAGTCAGCCGTCGTCTGCGGAAAGGAAGAGGACACAGGGGAAGGAGGGAGGGGGGGGGGGGGGGGGGGGGGCGCCACAGGCTGGCATGCGGGCGGCCAGTCTAGCGGCGCCACAGGCGTCGTGCGGCCGGCTGCAGCCCGACGACGCCGTCACAGAGCGGCGTCGACGTCGCAGCAGGACGTCGATGCTGCGACGGCAGCACGATGGCCCGACACCACGGCAGCGCGTTGAGACGGCTGCGGCACGACGCGGCCAGCGGCATCACGATGCCGCCACTGCAGCAAAACGCGGCCGCCATGGCCGCGCGAGCGAACGAGGGTGAGGAGTACGCGGCGGAAGCATGAGGAGGCGGTCCAGCAGGGAGGACCTCCTGCTCTGATAGCATGTCACAAGACTAGCTTAGCTAGGAAGCCATAAAATGGCATGAGGTTTAGCTAGGAGCTAGGAGGAGCCATGGAAATGGCGAGAGGTTTTAGGTGCTAGGAAAGTTGAGGAGAGAAAAGAGAATCAGAATAGAAGAGAGAGGGATACAAGGAGGGGTGTTGTACCCTCTACAGTAAAGTTCAGTAAGCCTACCAAGCCTACAATTATATACTAGCATATATAATTTAACACCTAGCTGGAGCCTCCAGCCAAGCATCATCACACT